GCGAAGGGAGAAGTGGATCTCCGCGTCGGGAATGGAGCAAGAGTTGTTGCGTTGACCGTCGGGACTTATGATCTTACTTTACCTTCTGGACTTGTGTTAGAACTACATGATTGTTATTTTGTACCTGCCATTAGCAGGAATATTATTTCAATTTCATGTTTGGATTCTGATGGTTTTCGTTTTGTTATTGAGAACAAAACTTTATCTATTTATAGAGGTGCTTTATTTTATGGTAATGGTTACCTATTTAATGGCCTTTATATTTTGGATGATAAACCATCTGGACACAATTCGATCTATAACATTAGTACCAAGCGGTTTAAGCCGAACGACTTAAACCCGACCTATCTCTGGCATTGTCGACTTGGTCACATCAACGAGAAACGCATAGCGAAACTTCATTCTGATGGACTTCTTGATTCTTTTGATTATGAATAAATCGAATCATGTGATTCATGTTTGATGGGCAAGATGACAAAATCTCCTTTTACTAGAAAAGGAGAACGAGCTACGGAGTTGCTAGAACTCATACATAGTGATGTGTGCGGTCCTATGAGCCCGCCCGCTAGAGGGGATTATCTGTATTTCGTTACGTTTACTGATGATTTCAGTAGGTACGGTTATGTCTACTTGATGAGACATAAGTCTGAAACGCTTGAATTGTTCAAGAATTTCAGAAACGAGGTACAGAACCAACTTGGCAAGACGATCAAGTTGCTTCGATCTGATCGAGGTGGCGAGTATATGAGCCAAGAGTTCACTGACTATCTGGCAGATTGTGGGATTGTCTCACAGCTGACTCCACCTGGAACGCCACAATGGAATGACGTTTCCGAGAGGAGGAACCGAACCTTATTGGATATGGTACGGTCTATAATGAGTCAGGTCGATCTTCCTAAATCCTTCTAGGGATATACTTTGGAAACGGCAACGCTTATACTGAACAACTGTCCAACAAAGTCGGTTCAGAAGACTCCATATGAGATATGGACTGGGAAGCGTCCCAGGTTAACATTTATGAAGATTTGGGGATGCGACATTTACGTGAAACGTCTGGCTTCTGATAAGCTATCCGCCAAATCTGATAAATGCATATTTGTGGGTTACCCTAAAGAAACTAAAGGGTACTGGTTCTACAACCCATCTGAGAACAAAGTGTTTGTTGCTCGGAATGGATCTTTCTTGGAGAGAGAGTTCGTCTCCAAGAGAGTTAGTGGGAGTAGAATAGATTTGAAGAAGTTTAAGAACCACAAATAGTCGAAGAACCGAGTGAACAGGTCAAAACAGTTCAACCTGTATCACAAGTTGTTGAGACAGCACCTCCTAGTGAACCTCGGAGATCTGGTAGAATTCGCCAAGAGCCTACAAGATATGGTTTTCTTGTGACTGGAAACGAAGAACTCATGTTGTTAGAACATGACGTCGTATTCAGAGGCTGTGGCGAATTCCGATTCCGAGAAATGGCACCAGGCCATGGAGTCTGAGATGCAATCCATGTACGACAACAAAGTGTGGACTTTGGTCGATTCGTTCAATGGTATTAAGACCATTGGATGCAAGTGGGTTTTCAAGAACAAAACCGACATGGATGGCATCGTGCATACCTATAAGGCACGACTCGTAGCAAAAGGGTTTCGCCATGGACTTTGGTCGACTCATTCGATGGTATTAAAACCATTGGATGTAAGTGGGTTTTCAAGAAGAAAACCGACATAGATGGCATCGTATATACCTATAAGGCACGACTCGTAGCGAAATGGTTTTGGTAGATTCATGGTATAGACTATGATGAAACCTTTTCACCAGTCATGATGCTTAAATCCATACGGATTCTGCTGGCCATAGCTGCGTATTATGACTACGAGATATGGCAGGTGGGCGTTAAAAACGCATTCCTTAACAGGAATCTGCTCGAGGATGTGTACATGACACAACCCGAGGGCTTTGTCGATCCTAAGAGTCCA